CGTTAATAAAGATGGTTAGCTGTTATTAAGAATTTCAGAAAAGCTAGGAATTGAGTTGTTTTTCATATCTTGCATTGCATTTTATTCTGAAAACTAATATTAGGATATTGTAATTTAAAGGAACATTAAAAGTGAAAAAAATTAATAGAAGATAGTACATTTTAGATATTTTCTTCCTTTGTATTACATTTTATGATAGCTTTGTTGCAAATCATAAGAGAAATGAGTGAATTATTATATATTCTTAAATATTGGAAGTGTGATTGGTAGCTTTTTGTTTTGAGTTTTAAAGAAAAGTGGAAATCCTGACCACTGGGCTCAACAGCTAATGAGAAGTTTAGTACAGAATAAAATTGGAACGTTTGCAGTGTGCCATAGGAATTAAACTTACTGGGATTTGGCTCCATAACTATATTGTGTGCCAGCTTTTAATGTGGTTTTTTATTTGTTTGTTTTTTAAATTTTATTGTTGTAAAATATATATAATAAAAAAATTGCCATTTTTAAACTATTTTGAAGCATACAATTCAGTTATATTGATTATATTCACCAGGTTGTGCTACTCTTACCACTATCCATTTCCAAGAGTTTTTCATCATCCCAAACAGACTCAGTACACCGTCAGTCGTAACTCCCCATTCTGCCCTCCCCCCAGGCCCTGGTAACCATTAATAAACTTTTTATCGCTACGCATTTAGCTATTAGATGTTTCATATAAGCAAGATCATGCAATATTTGACCTTTTGTGCCTGACTTATTTCACTCAGCATAGTACTTTCAGGGTTCATCCATGTCCTAGTGTGTATCAGAACCTCCTTTCTCTAGATATGGGTTTCTGACACCATGTGACCCCATAAGGAATGCATTGTGGGAACCTGTTCAAAAATCAGGATTCTCCTTTGAGCACCAGCCATTCATTCTTCTTCATTTATTCTTATGCCCTCCCCCCCACCCCCAGTGTTTCGGTATAGTACCTGTGGGACTCTTGCAGGTTACTTCTGCACACCTGCACTGGTAATGAATGAATGACTTCCGTGGTCCTGAGAGCCTCAGGGCTTGTGGCTGCTGACTGGTGCCTCTTCAGCCCTCTGGGTGGAGACTGGTCTGAGGAGTGCTGTCTCCCTGTTTTTCCTTCTCTGAGGTTTCCTTATTATCCTTGTCATTTATACTAGCAGAACTAAAAAGATGAGCAAGTAGTTTCCTGGAAATACAAAGCTCAGACTTGCATCAGCGAAGTTTCTAAGACATGAAAGTAGGCACGGCAACAGCGAAGCCGCCAGATACCTCTGAAACAGATAACCGAATACCAATGCACACTGTAGGGTCTTAGGAGACTTCAGAATACTGCTTATCTCAGCTTCATTTTTTCCTGAGAATATTTTCATTTCTCTTTGACCGATTAATCCAACCCACAGGAAACTGTCCTAAGGAAACACTCCAAGATGGCACTTGAGTTTATGTTCATCACCATGTTATTTTAAGCAGTGAAAAATTAGAAACAACGTAAATGTGTGTTTTTATTCTTTTCTGTGTTTTCCAGTTTCCATAATGAACCTGTCAGTGTAATAAGAAAAATACTGGGATATATTTTCTTAGATGCCTTTTAAGTAAATATTAGCATTACACATTCATGACATTTGCTTGTTTTACCAGCTACAGAAGACTTACCAGTGCTTCTTTTGATTTTGTTCTCTAGTCAAGTCTTCAGCTCTGCCTTTGGACACAGTCAGCAATCTCCTTGGCCTTAAATGCACTGTGTGGGGCTTGGAGGGAGGCAGATGGGCCACTAGTACTTGTGGAAATGAGGGAGGAAGAAGGGACAGAGAGTAAAGGAGGAAAAGGAGAGCAGAGAGAGCGGTGATGTACACATGTGGGATTCAGTAAACGTCGCCAGTAATTTCAAGTGACCACCAACGTGACTTTTTTCTTAATTGATTTCGATAAATGCCCATTTTCAGATGTCACCTTTATGCCACCAGTTCCTCTTTGGATATTGTATCTTCTCACGTCTTCGTTATTGTTCCAAGTTCTCCACATTTCTATTTCATCTTCCTTTTAACATTTGTCAATTCTTAATCTTTGCTGACTCTTCCGTATAGACAAAGAAATTAAATTATTCAAATATCCTTGACCGCTGAGATTTCATTTTCCTTCTCAGGTATCTTGCAACTCTGCCTTTTGTGATTTTTGCCCACCAGTGGCTTTTGTATGGGCAGGAAGGAAAGCAGTCAATACAAATCCATTGCCGACATTGTGACTGCGTAGAGGGTTCACCATAATGCATGTGGGAAATGTCTTTGCAACCCTTTTCCTGAATGGAAGGTGCCACGGCTTGGGTTTTATGGCCTTCTAATGTCGGACCATAATCTCATTTAGCATTTTCCCAAAGTGAAAACCGTGCATTAGGGCAGCATAACAAGCATCGCAGATCAATACGGAGGCCGCGCTTCACCCTTAGAGATGAATCCACGAAGATGAACCAGAGTCTGCTCCAGGAACGGGGGACAGTTATGTTGATCTCCTACCCTCTTTGCCCCTTTCTGCCATCTCATCATCAATACAGGTTGGAATATGTGCAAGAGGAATTTCAGAAGATGCGCGCGCGCGCGCGCACACTCACACCCACACAGAAAAACAGACAGGAAAGCAAGGGCCACGGGAATGAGTCGTATTGATCTGCAGTGATAAAAGTATATTTTGACACATTTCAAATCATCAATAACTCACGGACTTTAACTTGCTTGGCTAATAGCTCAACTCGGGATAAATGCTTATATACAACTTAAATGACCTCTTTCTAAGGGGCCCGTGGTATTAGATGAATTATCTCATTATGAAGTCTTTTAAGAAGGAGAAAGAATTGCCATCTTCTTTATGATGTGCTGTATGGGAAGCTCATACTTCATGTCCTTTTCTGTACGTTAGCAGGGGAGGGCTCAGACCTGGTCAGGATTGTCCTAGTTTTCTCTCCCCGCCCCCTGATGATCAGTCCTCAACACTGGGAGAGAACACAACACCGCTTGCCCATGAACTGTTAGTCATTATTCATATATTTGCTGCGTTCAGCTGACCTGAGGCTTAGGCATACTTTATTCAGTATTTATCCAGACGTGGCTGTAGCTGTAATCAATCAGTTAGTGGTGTCTGTGCTTATACCCTCGAAGCACAGCCGACTCCTTCTAAATGCTGATGCTCATGGTGGGGGATTAGAGAAATCTGTGTCCACAAAAATTCACAGACATCCGAACTTTGAAATCTTAAGAAGAACTGAAACTCCTGGGATTAGATTTAAATTCAGTTCTTAGGTATTTGACCAAACAGCAAGGTAATGAATGAAAAAGTAAAAGCAATGTTATATAAAATTTGGGGGCTTATTTTTTTCCCTGTATGTCTACTTTCTTTACAGGGTAGTAGGAAGTAAATCCCCTCAGGGGCAAGTAACATGCTTTGCATTTCAGTTTTCTATTCTAGCAAAATATATATTAGCTTAGTGTGTTGGATAAAAGTAATGAGACAAACCGTCACCCAGGGGTTTCCTTATTGATGAGAAATATTCCTCCTGTCTCCTCCTGGGATTTTTTAGAACCCATTAAACTTAAAATAATGCTATTTCAAGATTACCATGGAAATAACAAATTTCAGTTTAAAAAAAAATAACTGATAGGACAGACTGGAAGCTCTTTGTACTAAACAAAAGTAATTTGAAAAGATATATGAATTCTTAGATTTAAAGTGATAATATTATGTATTTTCAGTGTGTGTGTTTATTTCACTTAGACCAAGTACTGCTACCCTCTTAACAATAATATTTGGTTTTCATTTATATAATATAATACATTGGTTTATTTTTGTTATTATCATTTTCCCAGTATATTATAAACTATTTCGGAAACATTTATGTTTGATACAGCATATATACTCAGAGCAATCTGACTAAAATCTGGGATTTGTAAGTATAATTAGTAAAAATTTTGGCCCAAGGAATTTAAGCATTTTTTCTTTCCACCTATTTATATTCATTCAACAAATATTTATTGAGTATCTCTATCTAATAGCTGAGGTTACAAAGAAAGTAATACACAGTCCTCACTTCTTGGAATTCACATTGCAGTACATGTGGGCTACTAAATAGCCTTAGAGTGTGATGTGCTCAGGGTTATGTGCATGGTGGGAGAAGTTAATAGAATCAGTGGGGTCAGCAGAAAAAGCATAATAGATTCTTCCAGGGAAGGGAGAGTTCGTAGAAGCTGCATGAGCTAAATATTGGACAATGAGTAGGTCTTTTCCAGGTGTGCAGGAGCAAAGACAGAAAGAGAAGTATTCCAATCAAGCCTGACAGTGGTCTGGCCAGGCTGCCGGGTGCACAGGGCCGGGAGTGGAGGCTGACAAGTAGTCAGGAGCCTGACTGAGAAGGAGCTTGCCCAGTAACCTTCTATTTTATTTAGGAAGCAATAGGGAGAGGTACTGTGATAAGATTTGTGTGTTAGAAAGAACCCTCCAGAAGCCATGTAGATGGCAAAAGCTGAGAGACCAGTTTGGAGGTGATTGCCTGGAACCAGGGTGTAAATGATCAGGAATTAATGTAATCGGGGTGAGTATGGAGAAGGAGGAGCAGACCACAGGGATATCCAACTCTGTGACCAACTGGGCATGGGATGGAAGGGAGAAGTCATAACTCGGTTTTCTGTCCAGGCTGAAGGGTGGTGGTGCCGTTCAGATAGTTTAGTTTTGGGTTTGGGGAGGAAGTTTATAATGTCCAGAGTAGCTTATACAGATGTCAATTAATGGAACTAATTTCATAGAAATAATTTACATTATATGGATTTTTATCATGGGGACAACTTAGATATCTTTCTTTAAAGGTTGAAGACAATTATTTCTTAAACTGTTTTCTGCATTTGCAACATTTATATGTTATTTAATGTTTTATATATTATTTAATCTTGATCTTTATTCTGATTGAGACCCTTTATGTCACTGATCCCTGTTTCTGTTTTCAGGCGGTATGATTTTCATCCAGTCTGTGCTGACCTACAGGCCCAAATTCTCCAGTGTTACCGCCAGCACACCCACCAGACCCTCAGCTGCTCTGCCCTGGCTGCCCAGTACATGCACTGTGTCAACCAGGCCAAACAGGTGGGTGTGCAGACCACGCTAACCAGGCACCAGGAGAACAGAAAGCCCGACTTCACGGGCAGTGGTGGGATTAAATGGGCAAATGAGTGTGAAAAAGCTTCATAACCTAAACTAGCCATCATCGTCAAGAACAATGACCAAGAAAAAGTCAGGTCACAATCAAGTTCTATCCAAGTAGGTGTGGGAAGAATCTGTATTCTTACTGTAGTCAACTCATTTACTTGCCCCCATCCCCCCGCAAAAAAAAACTTACTAAAATTCTCATTTTTCTAGTTGTCCTGTACTTTTGTCCTCTCTTGTTATTAGTTGCTGTCAAGTTGATTCCAACTCATGGCAGCCCCATGTGTACAACGTAGAACTATGTCATAGGGTTTTAAGGCCATGACGTTTTGGAAGCAGATCACCCGGCCTGTCTTCCAAGGTACGTCTGGCTGGGTTTAAATTGCCAACCTTTTGGTTAGTAGTCCCGCACTTAACCATTTGCACCGCCTGAGGACTCCCTTTTGTCCTCTGCTGTTCAATTATTATATAATGGTGTCCTCCAAGTCATTGCTCAAGTATTTCGCAGTCAATATTCAGAGCCAACGAAGAGGAAGGGTTACCGTCTTTCCACTGATTGGTGGAGTCCACTCAACTGGACAGGGAAAGGGGGCCCAGAGATGGGATTTAGGAGATAGTTTCCCTTGCTCTTAGACGCTATAGCCATCGTCTTTTCTTGACCCTTCATGTCAGAGTAATACGATGTTCACAGGACGTGAGCGTTCTCTAATTTATGTACTTTCAAGAAGCTAATGATAAACCCTGGAGCAAATTATCCATTCTGGCAGGTCACATAATTGCCTGTCATTTAACTGATTTAACAGTTGGGTGTAGGTTGTTCTGAGAGACAGAAATTGTTGGAAACCTTGATACTTCCTGCCAGCAAACTCCCTGGAGTTGACCTTCTAACCCAACTAAATCTAGTGTTGGAGTTAAACAGCATGTCTTTCTGCAGTCTGATTTGCTGTAGTTACCATAATACCACTTAGTGTAAATTCCTAACATTCTCTGAATATCTGATTGGGAGGGTTGGTATTACCTGGATAGCTGGAAAACAACGACACCACTAGTAAAAAAAATGTAATCGAAGTGTATTACATGCGTATGTTGTCTTTAAAAGCTAGTGGCTTGAGGTTCTTTGCTGTTTCTGGCTTGGAGCAGCACTTGTATAACTCTTAGCAGGGATTCTGTTCTTGAAAGGTCTTCGCTAGAGGTAATGCTGCTCATGTTAAATCAGTACATTTTCTTTGTCAAAAACAGCCTTCAGTATTAATGCACTTGGGACTGTAGGTTGACTCGTGGATTTTCCCAACTTGAACTAGTGCGTATTGCGGTGTAGGGTAGGATCAGTGGAAAGAACGGTTATGACAAAGTGTATGTTTCAGCGCTGGTATCTGCCATACATGCCAGTTTCCACAGTGTGATCCATAACATTTCTAAAGTGGCAGCTGCAAGGGAGTTTGGAGTACTGGCTCCATTCTGCCCGTCTAGGTTGTGTTGAGACATCTACGCATAGCCCCATGATACCAATGGCATATATTTGTAAAATAAACAAAATTAACTGGTGACAAAATCAAATAAGCCACGTGGTGTAATCGAGAGTTAAAATCGGACATAACTGAGTTTGTATGCAAGCCCTGTCTTTTACCAGCTCCATGACCTTTGGCCTCAGTTTTTCTCATCTGTGAATTGAGGTAATGGTACCTCCAGGGTTGTTGTGAGGATTACATTTATGTAAACAATTCAGTAAATCTTTTTTTTCCTTCTCCTTTCCTCAGTTGTATTATTTCATACTGAAACTAACTAAACAGATCAGCCAAAAGCATCCAGTTATTACTAGTGATACCAGCAGATACCCTTCTCTTTTCCCCTAATCTGCAGTCCAATTTAATATTATTTTCAGCTAATACGTTTTGGGTGCCTACTGTTTTCATGGCTCTTGTATTCAATTATCAAACCAAAAGAAAACCCTTTGCCCTGAAGTTGATTCTGACTCATAGTATTAGGGGGTGTATGTTAATAGAAAACCAGTTGCTATTGTATCACCTCTGGCTCATGGTGATCCCGTATATGTCAGAGTAGAGCTGTGCTCATAGAGTTTTCAGTAGTAAATCACCAGACTCCTCTGGGTGAACTTGAACTTCCAACCTTTCAATTAGCAGCTGAGCGTGTTAACTGTTTGCACGACCCAAGGACACCATATTGATAGAAGACAGAATTAAAAAGATGTATGTCCACAAAACCTTCTTATACTAAAATGGGTATTATTGAAAAGGCAACAATACCTTGCATTTCTGCAGTGCTTAGGTTTTCAAGGTGATTTCATATCCACTTCCCTGCTGTTTTTTTATGACAACCTGAGATGTAAACAGAGATGGTTTTATTTTCACCATTTTACAGTTGAGAGAACTGAAACCCAAGGAAGTCATGCAGGTAAAGTTAACCAGGAGACACCTCAGCATAAAAACAAAAGCATTTAAAATAAATTAGTGTTTGGATTTTTTTAGTGGGCAAACATGTAAACAGATATCCATCATCCACTAATACAGAAATAAGGTAAAGAGGGAAAATGAGAGAGTAGGAGAAAAGAAACGGGAAGATGGAATTAAGTAGTAACAGAGTCTGAGGTAACAGTAGGGCAGTGATGAGAAATCACACCATCCAAGGTGCAGCTCTGCTCTGCCCCTGTTAACCCACTGCCAGCAAGTCAGTTCTGACTCGTGACCTTGTAGAACAGAGTAGAGCTGCCCCATAGGGTTTCCAAGGCTGCAAATCTTTACTGAAGCAGATGCCCCATCTTTCTCCCACAGAGCAGCTGGTGGGTTGGAACTGCCAGCCTTCTGGTTAGAAGCTGAGTGCTTAACCACTGCACCACCAGGGCTCCTCTGCCCCACTTTAAGATCTCACCAAAAGGGCCAGAGGAAGCTCATCTGACTACTTCCTGAGTCGCTGGTTTTCCTCTGCTACCGAGTTTTCCTTTGCTCCTTGTGAAGTTAGATTCTTACCCATGACTCTAGCCTTGCCCCCGTTAGAAAAGACTTTGCCCATATACAGGGTCCTGCTTGTCCTTTGGGGCAATTCCTGATGGGCCAACCCTCTTCCTTAAGGTTCCTGTTAAATCTGAAGAAGCAGCTGGACATGCTAAACGTGGAAAATACTCAACATGACAGCAGCCCATTAGGTTGTGTTGTCCATTTCCGACATAGTGCAGGAGTATTCCCCTTGGAATAATTCCAATAGCCAACTCCACTCCACATTCAAATGGCTCATAAGATTAAGCTTTCAGGGTTCCCTTGAGGCGTGGGTCTGTAGGCTAATAGATTTTACTGATAGGAAAATTTCCGGATATTCCTTAGCCTTACTTTTCCGTTCTTCTTGTTCATCCACTTATTCACATCAGTCTTTTTTCAGCTATTCTTAGGCAGTTGTGGGTTGACATGGGACATTTGACTGTTATTTCCAGTATACTAAGTTACCTGTTTTTCATAAGAGTAAAGAGACATTAAAATGTATTAAAGATGCTATAATTGTTATTTCTAGTACTTAAAAGCTACCGGCCAGCTCTATGAGATACATTTAAAAATGAAGAATATTGATTAATACAGACCTGTGTCTTTTTATTTTTCATATCTGCTTAGCCTCATAACTTTCTATAAGCTCCCCAAAACTGGATTACCCATTCTTGCCATTAAAACCTTGCTCCCATTCAGTCTTGCTATGCCACCTTATAGGGGACCGTGGAAGGGTGGGAGAATGACTTAAAACCAATAGCATCTTGCCCATTAGTGGAACAAAACATGCCCAAATTCTATTTCAAAAATGGTGGAAAGGGAGAAAAATGTAGAACAGAACTCTATGGAATCCGGAGTTTCTGGAGCTGCGGAGGCTGGATGAACCCCTGAAACTATTGCCCTGAGATCATCTTTAAACCTTAAACCAAAAATATTCCCTAAAGCCTTCTTAAAACCAAACGATAGTTTAGGTTAACTGGTAAGGAACATACACCTTGAGGATTGTGCTCTTTTAAGAACAATCTGTATGAGATCAAATTGACAACAGTAACTGCAAAGAATAGATAAGAAACTTAGCAGGCAGTGAGTTTATGTTAATGGGGGAGGAACAACTCAGAAAAGGAGGGTGAGAATGGTTGCACAGCTCGAAGAATGTAATCAGTGTACTGAACTGTATATGTAGAAACTGTTGAATTGGTATGTCTTGCCGTGTATATTCTCAACAACAAAATTAAAACAAATTTTTTTTAATGTGAAAAATGAGGGCGGGGCCTTTGCTCCCTGGGACACCCCACTGCCCTGACACATACTTGCAGCAATTCTAGGCATTCCGGCTCTTTTCCCAGCTCTGCTGCTGTTGACAGGAAGATAGAGAAGCTGGCTGGATTCTTGTGGAACATTCTGTGCTCACTGAATGGCAAGGCTTATAGGAGATGCCGTCGCTGCTACCCTGATCTGCCGTGGTGACCTAGGCTTCTGTTTCCTCTGTGGTAAATTGAGGGTTGGGCGGGGTGATCTTCAAGGGCCTCCAGTTCTCTTACTCTGGGATTGATTCTCCTTGCATGTGTGAGAGCAAGAGGTGGTGTGGATAGCACAGCGTTGTGACTCAGATTCAGAGACAGCTGTTTGGTGCTACAAGCAGCACCCCTGCTTCTGGGACCCACTGCGTTTGTGCTCCTGCTGCTTAGATCTTGCTGTCAGCCTTAGACTTCCACTCACGAAGAACACCTGCCACCCGGCCTCCCACTGCAAATGCCTGTCCTTGCCACTCTCCCTCCCAGCAACCCTGGGGGAAGCCATGGCAGCAGAATGAACTGGGAGGAGTGGAAACAGTCCCACTGTTTCTCCAAGCTCAGGGGAGAGAAAACCTGCTGTCTCAGTGCTACCTGGCGGAATGCCGTCTGCCAGCCCATAACTCCTACAGAAGATGCAGGCTGCCTACCTCTACCA